GCTGTGATCTCCTTCCTATTAATGGGAGCTCTGTCGAAGAATGTGGCCAACTTTCCGCGACTCAGTCACAAGGGCGGCCAAAACTACGTTAGGGAGCACGAAGCAAACCGATATCGCATCGATAAACAAGCGTGGCTATAAACAGAAGAGTTCAAGCAGAAAGTGAAGGAGAAGAAAGTGGCGTGCGAGAACTGGCTCGCTGAGAAAACCGCTAAAAAATGGAGAGTTTATGCCAGAGCTAAAAAGGAAGCCAAGAAAGCTGTAGCTGCAGTCAAAGCAGAGCATTACCGAGACTTGTATGAACACCTGAACACCAGAGAAGGAGAGGAAAACACATACCGTTTGACAAAAGGACGGGCACAAATAGCAAGAGACGTTGAACATTTCATGTGCGTCAAGGCTGCAAATGGACAACGACTGCACAGCGGACGAAAGATACTGGATCGTTGACAGCAACACTTCGGCGATATCTGTCGAATTCGCCCACACGCCAATTTCAGAAGGCACAGAAGGCATGCTGGTCAAGTCCCTCGGATCACAACCGAAGAGGTTGCCAAGGCCATAAGCAGCACGAAGAACCCGTAAAGCGCTAGGACCAGACGACATACCTGCAGGGTTTTGGAAAATGAAGGAAATGGGTCAGAACAGAGTTCCATGGCTTACACAATTCCTCGACGCCGTTGTGTTTCAGGCAGAGCACCGCCTTCGAGCAACGAGCATAACAGTACCAATATTCAAGAACAAAGGAGATTCTGCGAGATGCTCTAGCTATCTCCCTATCTATCCACCTGTTATCGCATAGAATGAAAATCTTTGAGCGACCCTCGACCGACGACTACGCGATATGGTGACATTGACCAGTAACCAATGTGGTTTGTGAATAGGCTCCGCCGACGCAGTCTTTGCTGCTCGTCTGCTCATGGAGAAACATAGGGCGAGGCAAAAACCACTTCATGTTGTCTTTCTGGATCTTGAAAAAGCGTATGACTGCGTACCTGATCCATTAATCTGATACTTCGTGAACATAGTGTGCCTGAAGCTCTTATCAGCTGGCCCCGGATGTAATATACAAACACCGCCAGCCGAGTGAGATGCGCAGCCGGCTTATCAAATAGCTTCCTAGTAAACGTAGGCGTCCATCAAGAATCAGCGCTCTCGCCATTGCTTCTCTTCTCGCATGGACACGCTCACACGGGACCTGCAAAATGAAACGCCGTGGACTCTGCTTTATGCTGAGGATGTCCTTGTCGCAGATGTCAACAGAATGGGACTTCAATGTCCCAGATGTGGAGTGATCATCTGAGCCGCTACGGTTTTCGTCTCAACATCAAGAAGACGGAATATCTGGAAACCAACGCATTTGATGGTACCATCAACGTTAATGGTTTAAGCCTTACCGGAGATCATCTCTTTCAGATATCTAGGATCTTGCTTCCAAAGCGGTGGTGGCCTGGATGACGAGGTACGAGCGAAAATAAATGCTTCGAGGACGCGATGGATTACTGGAGCACTGTGAGACAGACGCATGACCACTCGCCTCAAATAGAAGATATATCGCACAATGGTCCACCCGATTGCACTGTACGGATCCGAATGCTGGCCGATCACTACAAGCGCAGAAGGTCAATTGAAGGCTATGGAGATGCGGATGCTGCGATTTACATCGGGTATTACACGCCTTCATCGCATGTAACGATGTCGTCCGCCGGCGAAAGGGCGTGGCGTCAATTGCAGAGAAGATGCGAGAACGACGGGTTCAGTGGTATGGACACCAGGTATGGACGGCTATGGACGTGCGCGCCGAGTCGCATACCGTCGCTGCCACGGCATATCATTTCAAAGTGGACGGCCATCGACTCAGAGGAAGACCTAAACAACGTTGGCAGGACACAATCAACGCGAACATGAAAAAGTCGACCTGCACTAGACCGAGCAAAGTGGCCCCCGCACCAGCGAGACAACGTTAAGAAGAAGAAGAAGAAAAGAAGAAAAAGAAAAAGTGTATTCGCCCCTTTTGGAGCTTCGAATCGGAATTCCCTGCGAATCCGCTCAAGGCAGTGCCCACGTTCAGTTGAGATTTTCCCCTTCCGAGCAGGTAGCTAGGTTAGTGATCACACTATTGAGTGATGAACTCCACGATACCGTCGTTGCTCTCATTGGCCCAACCCTTAATCAATGGCACCGCACACCATTCATTTCCAATGGTTACCTGATGGTGCGGTTGTTCTGCTACTGAGTCTCTCCGCTTCGAATGGTGAGAGTGAGGTGATAAGGAAAAACACCTGATACCAACAAGTAAGAACTCTTGCGACCATAGCATCTTTTCGCCTTATCCTCGTACAACCTCACTTCGGTTCTATATGGGACATATCCGACTGGTTTTTTTTCTGCTTTTTTTCTTCACTGCTGGATCATTTGCTACCTTACTATTACTATCTGAGCCGCATGACTCATAATATTGGAACGCGGACTCAGCCTTTAAGCGAATGCCATGCTGTACAGTTTTGAAAGAATGGTTCAGCTGAAGAGTTCTTCGAAGAGGCTCATAAATTCGACATCACTTGTGCAAATAAGAGCGCCGTGTAGCATCCTATTTCGTGTGGAAGTATTATATAGGTAGCTGTCATGCTAGATGTTGTCTTGTGCGCCAAAGGGGTTGTTAGGTAGAGGACTTAATCACTGGCCTGACGTTTCGACTGAATCGTGTTTATCAGAGGCTCAGCACGTCACCCCAAGCGGAATGTAGCCACTTTCTCAGTAGTCGGTGTAGTAAGTCTTCCTATTGTCCATGTTGTACTGAGCTTCTGACGAATATGATCTAGCCGAAAGTGAGGCCGATACCAAGTATTCCATCTAACGACCTCATCTGCATGCAAGAAAACATCTGATATAACAAGTATGCCGAGGTTCTAAGAAGAGAGAAGCTGGAGACTGCATAGGCAGCATTAACGCAGCTTGAAAACTTATTAGTGGAAATATGACCGACGCAATATTGAGAAAACTACAAAATCCTCGCTGTATTGTACTGCATCGGACGGATTCCTGCTAAGCTTTTGCCAGTCTCAAGGCTTCAAAGTATGGAATATGCCGTATAATTTTGCAATGGGTGGGTAGTAGATGTAAAATGTAGCATTGTGAACGCTCCAAGAAAAACAGACACACCTTTCGAACACTTTTCTGATTTTCCTTTCGCTGGATCCAACGAATTTTGACAGAAGCTCTGGTCCCTAAATGAATGTGTTGCCTAAGATTCGCACATTTTGGGACTAAGACTCGCACAGTTCTACATATTTTCGGACTATTTATCGCAGAAGTCAGCTTTGTCTCCATTTGAGAATCCCGAGAGATTGCTTTTATCCACAAAAGGGCCTGAAAGCGTTTCACTCACACGGGAGGCGATATTTCAAGTTATGAGGCCTTTTTAAACATTGAGCACAGAAAGAGGTTCACATCCCTTAAACTCTTGTGGTTTAGTTCGAGTTCCCAAGATGAAGACTTTTTGCAGCCCTATAATCAGAGTCAGAGAAAAGTGCCGGAGTATAGAAGATTTCCATTTTCCGGAAAGCCTCTCACTTCCTTCCCTAGGCCTACCACTTGTGACACTTTTCAGGCGACACGAAAAACCCACCCCTCCAATACAATACCCCTTCCAGTTCGTTCAGTGACTTCGTTATGCTCCTAGAACACATACGTTTGCCAAGGTTATCAGGGAATAGTTCATAGCGCCGACTGGCATCACCTCTGTAATCATGCATACGGCTCCGACGTAGAGTTGTTGAGAAGATGTCACTTCTAGTAGGACTTTTTCCGTGCAAGCAGATGCGCTCTGCGATGAGAAAGGTCCGAATGTGTTCTTTCATCTGTTTATTCACTAGCTGGCTGACGTCGGCGCGTCTCCTTCTGAGATATGGCAAGCTTCGCCGGGCGGGGGCGGCTCTTCCGCGCTCACCCTCTTCCACACATTTGGATACCCACCTAGCATCCGCCTTTTCTTTTATCTGAAATGGTCAATATTCTATGACCAATAGCATCCCAACGCCCGCTCAGTTGGACTGCTCCAATTGCTAGATGCCCTCTGATGGACGGCCGCTCAGCTGTTCTTTGTTGGAGCGGCGGGCATTAGTCGGAATTGCTATGTCCTTTCTGATGACGGCGCTTGCGATAATAATCCATCACTTGCTTGTGTCGAGAAATTCCGGGCATCGATGTCTCGATAAAACGTGTTCCACTGATAATTACAGGGTTTTTTCTGTCAGAGTGGAGCTGGGGAAAACAGAGGAGCTCTTCTCAGTATTCATGCTGTTCTGTTATATTCTCTCCTGCTACGCGCGATGCGGATGCTCTAAGCAACAAGCGGGAGAAACAGACTTTCGTACGTGATACTCATCTCCCCGTGCTTTTTCTTCAATCCTCCTTCACTGCCTTCCTTTAGTTTCTTGCCTCTCTCTTATCCTATGTATGCTTTTCTAAGAATTTGCGCTTCCAGCCAGCTATAAACAGCTATAAACCAACTTTGGCTAAGTGCCAGAAGGGTCGCGCACGAGACGCGCAGGCGGGCGTTAAGGGGACGGAAGCAGCTCGGGACCGGACGCCTCGTCCACCTACCGTCTCAGCGAGCCTAGCGAGCCTTGTGGAAATCGCCATAACTTCCTCATCGCGCCATATTGAGGGATGAAAGTGCTATCACCTTCGTCAAGGCGTAGAGGGTTCCAAACAGCACCAATTCATTTTGAGGACCACTTTATCGCGGTGTCTTTAAACAAGGCAGAGGAATAATTGTATCGGAGCCAAGGCTGATCTCAGTAGTGCTGAGATGATCATAGGATTCACAGCACCCCACAGCCTAATGAGCAGTATCCTCAGAGTAAGGGGAGGTCTCAAACACTGTCCCTCGAAAGACGTACACCCACGTAGCTTTTCGTAAAATCAGGAGTGTAGAACTCCCACAATAAGGCGAAGCTATGGTTTTGCGCACTGCGGCCGGCTTGACAAAAGAGGCATTAGGTTGAGTCGAAAGTCTTGCCATCATTGGCAACTTTGTTCAGTAACTAAATAATTTTCAATGAACGAAATCAAGTCATTCATGTGTTGACCCTTATTGACACCCTCTGCTATCTATAGGGTAATTTCACGAGTCTATCCTTATAAAAGGAGACTGGCTTAGATCGAAACACGCTAGAAGAGCGCTTTCGTGCTGCTCATACTTGGGAATTTTTAGCGAGATGATTTTCCAACAAAGGGAGAAGGTGGTAGTATGACCCAGCAAGGTCTGGCGTATAGGCAGATGACAAACCACTAACCTTCCGTTGAGATCTGGTTGGTAAACGTTAACTGTGTGCAGACTGATAACTTGCTTTTCTGCGCACTGCAGATTCTACGAATGAGGTCCAGTTGCCCCGACACAAGAATGCAAGGAAAACATAAAACAGTTCCTCAGATGAGTTCGATCTGGGACACACCCTTTTTAAGAAAGATGACTTGCAGTAAGTAAGCAAATGTATCGGAACCCTTATCTTCCTCTACCACAATTTTAGTTTGCCGGGTATTCTTTTAGAGCCTGTCTCCAAGCGCTGGCGGTTTAAGATGAGAGCAGCTGCTGTACTCGACTATACCTACAAATGTTTTGATATGACGACAGCTAAAGGTACTAGGACATGAAGAAAAGATTAGGAGGCTGGTAGGCATCATAATGTGGTACACAACAAAATCAGTAAAACCTTAGAGTATTCATATCCTTACCTTGATAAAAATGGATTTGAGTCCAAAATGAGTTACGATTGCTTTGGCCAAATGCGTTTTTCCACACCCACTTGGCCCATGCAACAGAACCGCATTTCCGAGATGAATCCCGTAGGCATCAAACACCTTTGTATGCTGGAAAATGGATTCAAGGATTGGAAAAAGCAGCACATAGTGGAACCAAAGAACACTTTCTTACTTGTTTTATTATTATGACTGCTAATTATCGCAGTTACGTGACACCGTAAACTTTTGTGCATAGTTCTATTGCGAAACCGTGTAAGATAGAGAACTGCGGCTGCCAAAGTATCGAACTGCGCAAGAAACATGTGGCAATTCAGGAGATGAGTTTTTCAGAAGGGACTTTGAGATGGGTGAGCTACTTACAATTTGTGAAAGCTGGATTGGGTGAGGTCACAATGAACGCAGGAAGTCGTGTGGACAAGAGGTGCAGAGAAAAGCAAAAGATCGACACAATCGGACGGATTGAGTACAAGTCGTCCGTAGACCGTTACCACCACAACGTGGGATGGGAAAAATAATTATGAGAATGCTGAATTCCGGAGTTTTCCTGGATCATATTACGAGCTTTTGTAATATTAAGCACTCTTTTGTTGGATGTTCAAAAATTTTCCATAGTCTTGCGACTATTTTACTCCATTTCCGAGCATTAGCGGGCTGATCATCATTTTCATTCCCCATTTGTGTAGAGAGCAGTTTTTTTTGTATCATCTCGAGGTTTGAAGCTTATGAACCTATGTCCTCTGGCAATAACCTCAAATTACTGTGAATTTTCCGCAGAAACCATAGGACGCATCATGCGTTGGGGAATTTGGTCGAGTCTCTACCCTCACTCTGAAGGGAGCTCGGTACGACCCTCATTGCTACGGTTTGTTGTTGTATGACCTTTTTATCAGCGTTTTTTTGAAGCATATGTGAAAAAAGTAACGTCACGCCGAGTATTTCTCCTGGCTTCCAGGCACATTCCAGCACTGAACGTCATCCGACTGAAGAAACTGTGTACGAATGAGACTCTGAACTAACGAGGCACGATTCCAGCAGAACTGCTCCCCTTATTCACAGGAATAGCTTGGTACAGATGAAACACTCTGGTGTTCTGATGCATGTGTTACCTTAGCTTTCATGGAAAGCCATAGGCCAAGTCTTCAAAGAGATAGAAATGACGAGATTTATAGCGATTATTCGTTATTCCCCACATTGCTGTGATAACTAAGCTAGTTAGGGATCCTACACTTCTCGGACACTCTTTTAGGTGATTAAAGGAGAGTAAGAATGTGTGTGGACCTTCACTGCACAGGATATTGTGCTCCAACCTACCTGTGTCCGCATTCGCGCGCGTGAAAGAAGTGCAAGGACCTAGCCATTCGAATATTGAATAAGAGCACGTCCGTCTTTTAAAGGCAGGGCCCGCGCTCATTTGATGTTCCCAAGGCCTTTGCGGATATCGTAGCCCTTCTATAAAGCTGCAGGATGCACTAGTTCCGCAAATCGGAAAGGAGAGGATAGCGCCGATCGGTAGTGAAAAGGTTGCCACCTCGTCCACCTGGCGACCACAACGACCACCCTTCATTTTCAACGGCTGCATGATGGCGCGGTCGTTCCGCTAATGTTCTGCTACTAAATCCTCTTCACTTCGAATGGTGAGTGTGAGGTGATAAAACAGCTGACACCAACAAGTGAGAACCCTTTCGGCCAGCCGTCGCCTCGCGTTATGCAGGTACAACCGCATAGGCAATTGGTTCTATATAGGGCATTTCCCATGATTTCTTTTTGATTTTTTTTTCACTATGGCATTGTTTGCTGCCTTGTTATTTCTATCTGAGCCGCATAACTCATAAAATTTAAAAGTGGACTCAACCTTTAATTATGTTGGATGACTTCATATTTTGGTGTACATGAAGGTGATGGGCGAGAGCCAGCTCCTGCTTATAGGGGAACATCCTAGGTATATTCCGCCCTGGGACTCGTATCCAAGTCTTCTGTCTGGGCAGCGAAAACTTTGCTGATATGTGACTCGGTCGAAGTGACTTTTTTATATACCTTATTATATACCATTTTCACTTTAAATTCACCCTTTTTCAAACCAAATTCGTCCTTTTTCAAACCAAATTCGTCCTTTTTCAAACCAAATTCACCCTCACTTTTCATCAAAACACCACACTTATTAGGGCGCGACAAACTCATCAACCAGATCATGCCAGACATCACTGCGAGCCCCGCCCCGACGGCCACGCCCTTTTGTCAGCGCGGACACAGATTCTCAAATCTTGTTTTATAACTTCTGCTTTTGCTGTTTCCCACAGACACTTTGACTGGGAATTACCGGGCATTGACACATGCCGACTCCGCACATTTTCTAAAGGGTTCGGCAATCTAGGCTGACCACGCCCACTCGCTTTTCGCGGACTTTCGATATTTTTTCAAATTTTTTGCATTTTAGGGCTGCTGCATGAAGCCCCGCCTACTGTGAGATGCTGAGATGGCCAGGGGCAGAAAGAAGAGATCTGAAGAAGATGAAATCTCACAGGATATCCCTGTCTGGGCAAAGAAAATGACCGAAAGGTATGAATCGTGCTGTGAGAGGAACGAAAAAGCTCCGACGTCGTCCTTAAAAGAAATAGTTGCCAGGAGAGTCAGGATAGATCAGGTGCAGGAGACCATTCTTTCGCGATTATTCGCCGTCGAAGCGAGCATTGAAGCACTGGGAACTTCTGCACCAATTGATCGAAGCACGCTTTTCCACCATGGTGGGCGCTGAGAAACGAAAATCGAGAATGAATTTCGCAGGATTGCGTGGGTCGGTATCGGTGAGCAGAGGGAGGATGTGGAAACACGCGAACTCAACTTAACTACTAGGCCCTCAAAGAGGTCACTGAAACATATGGCGACAAGAAGTTGCTCTCGGAATTTCAGAAGGGTGCCATCTTCCTGCAGCATCATCCTAAAGGGCAACCTAGGCAGTCAATGCAAGAGGTCGAATTATTGAGATGGATCTTCCGTCTAAAGCCCTGAAAGCACGGCACGCCTTCGTGTTGTGATCATTTTCAGCCAGATACGACCCCCCCCCAAATAAGGGTCTTGATACGCCCCTTTCACGAGAGTACAAATGAAAAGAGGAGCAAAAGGGACGAAGAAAATGACAATAGAGAATTGGGCGCTATTGAACTAATCCTACGCCAAAACCTCAAAAAACCTATGCTGAAACTTTGTCCATAAATGTTATTCGATGTCCTGATCACGACTATGACATCGTTTCTCCATACCAGCACTATTTAGCGCTCTGCTGAGGCTAAAACTGGGAAAAGACTGACTGAGATTTCCCTCAGGCCAGGCTCACTATTAGCAAAACGCAGATGACAATCTTGTCGTACGTTCAGCATAAAGAAATCTGGCTTTGTACACGGGGCAGCGCCGGCGCCAATAACAAATGTCATATTCGTAGTCAGGATGTCAAATTACCCTCGTGTACAAGTTTTTATCGAGTTTGGTGATTTAGAGTATTTTGGCGCGGGCGCCAAAGCACCCTAAATTATCAAATCCGACGAGTTTCGAGCGAAGCGGAAGCGATATTCGTGTTCAGGAGGTGAAAGACCACCATAAGCAAACTTTCAACCAAATCTGCCCTTTTAGAAAAAGTTCGATAAAAAAGCAGCCTGATTCCGGCAGACTGGGGTAGGAATAGTTTGGTAGCGCAGAAACCAGAATCGAAATAGAAAATTAATAAGAAAAACTAAAAAAGAAAATCAACAAACTACTACAAAAGAAAAACAAGAAAAAACTCACCATGACGACGAAGTCAGAACTGTTAGATAGCATTCGAACATCAATTGTTCGCGGTCAACGCGCTAATACAAACGCATTGGAGCGCGCTATTTTAACCTAGAGCCAATTTCAAGCCAAACACTCGAAAAGTACCCCTCGGTTGGACACCCAAAACTTTTTTGAGAGTAAAGCTTTCGAAGAGGGGTAGAGCAGGTACGAGGGAAACTAGGTTGGCACTTGTTACCTGATTTTGAGCGATTTCAAAAAAAATATCCTTTTTAGGAACTTTTCTCCGTTGTGACCTTTGCGTGATCATGGGGGGTCAACCACAAGTCGCTACGCTCTGGAGATCCATGGCAGCTTCATACAAGGTCTTGGTCTTGCCGGAAGCATGAGGCATTCTACCTCCCAGCAAGACTTTCACTTTATCCCTAGGCCTGCTGTTCGAAAAAATCCCCCGTTGTGATCACAGCGTAATCATTGCCTCACGACACGAAAAATCAACCCCTCCTACGCCATCAAACCTGCAGCTGGCTTAAAGACTTTGGTATGCTTCTGAAACGCATGTTTTTTGTAGGAATATCGGGAAATAGTTCAATGGGCGCCAATTGGCATAAACTCTGCAATGCGCCATGCATAGCGCTTTCACGCAGAGTTATTGGGAAGGTGCCATTTCCAGAAAGGGCTTCATCTGTGCAAGTAGATGTGCTTCTGCGATAAAAAGGTCCAGAAGTGTATTTCCATCTGTTTATTAATTCATTGCAAATGTTCACTGCCGCGGTGGTGGTGTACTGACAAGTGACGCGGTCACCACATGCGGGTTCAAATCCCGGGTCGACTCCCGCCCAAGCCAACCGAGCCTTCTACCCTCCGGGGACGGTAAACTGGTACCAGGTTCGTCTTGGAAAACACTAACTTGTACATCGGCTGGCCTCCACAAGTCATTGTATAGGCCAAATTGCATTCAGTAAGCCACTGCGATTCTGATTGAACAACCCCTTTGTGCGATGCGTGTCGCATCCCACAAAGGGGTTGATCAACGGCGGAGACTTTATCCTTCATCCTTTTTTATTAATTCATAACGTCGTTGCGAGCGGCTATCGTATTTTCCGTCATCGCCCGTTCCCCACTTCTGCGTTGGTAGGTCGCTTCTGTCTTGTGTGGGTCACTTCAGGAGTTCTTCACATGGATAAGTCTTCATCATTGAAGCTAAACGACATCCGGATATCGCTCTAACCTTACTTCAGGAAGGTTCCCGCGCTTACGACCCCCCTGTTGTGATGATCACAACGATGGCGTGCCCTACCTGGAAGACCGGCTGCTTTAACACATGAGGTCTGGGAGGCAAAGCT